TATGTTTGCTTGACTATTTCGTGTAAGTAAGTGTCTAGCTTTGATTAGATTCATATTGATTTTAGATCCCCACTTCTTTCCTTAAAAAGAAATTTTTTTGCTAACGGTTATGAATTTATTTATAAGTTTATCGATCTTTTTATTTTCAACGAATTGGTCACGCATTCTTCGATAGAGTATTACTAAATATGTTGGTTAGTACGCTTTTTGTAATATTTTTGTATGATATAAGTTCAAAATTAATATTTTTATTAAATAAAACCCAGCTAAATATAAATTGCAGTTTTTCTACAAAATTGAAGTATTTTTGAAGTTATTCTACAGTAAACAGTAGACTTTTTGAAGCGCAATCTTAACTCTAAAAATGTTTAGAAATACTTCTGCAGCTAATGTGAAGCAATTTCTCAATAGTATTTTATTTCAAAAAATTGTTAAGCTATTGTCGACTAAATTACTGTAGCTTACGTGAAGTCACTTTGAAATCATAAATATAAAAAAGATGAACACTGGAATAAATTTAAAGGAATATATTATCTGATGTATTTGCAGAAAAAACTACAGTTATTTTATATTGTTATAAAAGTGAGAGAGAGAGACTCTTTTGGCAATCAAACAGATTTTGATGTCTTCAACCTTGTTTTCCTCTTTAATAAATTCTCAACTTTTTATAATGTTTTTGTTTGTTCTGTTTTTTCTTGATTGTATATTAATTTCTGATTATTACTTTCTTAAATTTTTATACGAATTCTTAACATACACGTGACATACACAAACATTTTTGAGTTAGAAGAACTGCAGAATTACTAAAGTTTGTTGACTGCAGTAATTTTGTATTAGTACCAATCTCAAATATTCTGTGACGGAATCGACCGAATATCCACAGTCTCAAAACTGCAAGTTTCTTTCTTTTTTTTCTTCTTTTTTTTTGTATATATATAAATTTTCTGCATTTTATTTTTAGCTGGGAAAGCAAAAATTAAAAATATATATCTTAAAAACTCACATACACAAATAAAAAACTCACACACATATCTTAAAAACTCACATACACTCTTAAAAAAACTCTTATGTCATAAAAACTCTTATGAGAGAGTTGGGTAATGTCATCAAAAAATTTCATTAGTATGCATTTTTAAGGAAATGTAAATTGTATTTAATTTATATTTAAGCAGTTCATATAAATAAACAGTTAATATAAGAATATTAAAAAAAGCAGTTCTCATAAAGAGGGAGACATATATGATTTTGTTTTTCTTTTCAGATTGTGTTGGGTATCCATAACGCACACTTCAAATAATTGAATTTTTGGATAAACTTAAGGGTTTGCTTTAAAATTTAAAAAAAAATTGCTGCCGACCGGCCTCTGTAGGGGGCAGGAAACTGTCCTTGCTTCAGAAAGGTCCTGGGTTCAAATCCCGGTCAAGACATGGATGTTTCTTCCTCCCTCTGAGTGTTCTATGCCCTTTCTCCTTTGTGTGCGAATGTGACCCGTCGTATAAACGGGTTGTGGTTGTGTGAATGGCGTGGCAGAAGTCGAATTCCTGGCCATAGATGACGACGCTGAAAAGCAGGAACAATCGCACCCCCACTGCCCAAACAGACATACGACAAAAAAAAATTGCTTTTGACGTATATTTTTATGACACATTTTTAATGAACATAATTATAGTTGTTTTAAATTCAAGAAGATTCTCTACAGTTACATTGAAATCCTCTATAACCCCATCTAACCCCGTCTGTTCCCATCTAACCTCTATAACCCCATCTGTTCCCATCTAACAGCCCACGAAGCCTTTTTTTTTTGTGGCTCACGAGCTAAATATATATTAGTTGTCATTTTTTTTAATTTTTTGTGGACAATTTTCGTAAAAAATCTATACGGGTTTAAAATACTTTTCTTTTGTTAAAAAAAGTAATTTCTTCGTTTCTGTGAAATTTAACACACCAACGGTGCAAAAAAAATTTATTTCTCAGGTTTTGCATCCAAGAAAATATTTATTATTATTTGTAATTCAATACTTTTGCTTCTAACAACTTCAGAAAAATCTGACAGTAATATTTAATGTTCCTTCAAGCATAAAAAAAGTCCTATGTAAAATGTTGACGAAGTTGCTGTCCGCCGTTTGACTGGTGTTTTTAATTGTGGCCCCCGGCCTCGTGTAAGTTGGAAATCCCTGCTCTATAAAGTGTGTATAACACCCAACAATAGAAAAAAAAATGCAATTTTTTTGTCGAAGTCACACTTGTTAATACATTAATCTGATAATATATTAATCTGATGTCTCTAAAAATTTGACAGATTCGCTACACTGTTATACATTTTTATGTGGCAGTAGTGTGACAACACACCTGGTTGTTGTATTGTTGTAAATTATAAAACAAGATTGATGGAATAGCAAATCCTTGCTTTTTTTTATAGCTACTTAAGATAATTTTTATTCATTATTCAAAATAATAATAGATACATTATAAATTATCATACTTATCACACATTATTATATTAAATTTAATTAACTAATTATAAATTAAAACGAACAAATGACTTCATGGGACTATTACGAATGTTGAAAAAATAGTTGAGAAGGCATTTTGGGCACATACATATTGAAATATCTGTGATAATGAGGGTGACACATCACTAATAAGGGTATTTATTTACAAAATTAAATTGATTTTGTAAGGTAATTAATTTATTCACAATTTGTTTCGACATTTTTGACTTTTATTTATTAAATTAGAGTAAGGTAAACTAACCAGTGAAGGTACACTTAAGCTTTGCTTGCCTTTTAAAAAATCATATTAATTTCAAAATTCGTAATTTTAGTTAAATGACAGTGTCAACATATTTGTTACTAATTGCAAATTATGTAAAAAAATTGTAGAGATCTTACATAATATTGTTTTGGAGGTTCAAATAACAAGTAGTAAGAAGACCAAGTGAAGGAACAGCTCTTACCAGCGAATGAACACCCAGTAAAGAAACACTTAATTTTGGTTATTTTTTAATGCTATTTGTGAATTTATAAGCCATACAAATATTTGAAAACAAGCCTATTCTTGAAATTATAACATATAAATACTTGGACAATGTTAAATTTTTTTTTTGTAATCATGAATTGAAAATTAAAGTGTCAACGTATTAACACATACTGTTCATTCGCTGGGAAATCTATGCCCAGTAAAGGAACATGCCTGTTCCCTCATTGGTTAGAAGTTGTTTTTCGTATTTTTAACATACTTTTGATGCGGAACATCACTGAAGGTACAAGAGAATTGAAGTTTATCTTTTATTTTCATTAACTTAGAAACAAAATCAGTAAAGGAACACTTGTTCCTTCTCTGGTTTTTCATCGTTTGGTGATCCAGTGAATAAACACCCCTTATCTCAATACTTTATTATGCTATGATTAAAAAAAAATAAAACGTAACTTCAATAACTATATTTTGAATTCTCCATTTCACAGTGAGAAAAATAAAACTATTACATGCAATTAATTCCACTTCAAACATATAAATACAAACACTCGCTTTATAATTTTCTCAAACAAATAAGGTGTTGCTGAGATAACAAATTCAAAAATTTTTCCAGAGAAGTCTATTTGGCCAGGTAGTCCAAAACATTGCTAAATGACTTCCCATTGTTTGGCAGTAAGCTATTGTTACCAATCAATCTGAAGAAAAACTTCAAATTCTTATTTTTAATCAATATATATGAAATGTTCCTTCACTGGGTAGTGTTCTTTCGCTGGTTGGTTTACCCTATCTAAATTTTGTACATATTTAATTATAATACATTCATATATTTGTACATATTTATTATACTAAATTTATAATACATATTATAAATTTTGTGCCGAGGAAAATTAAGGTTAAATCAATTTTTTAACCTTTGTTTATTGCTATTATTATTATTATTATTATCGTAACCACTATTAGTATTCAAAATATTGGCTGCAGCTGTTGTCCCGATATTCTTTTAAAAGTTCGTTCCCGTGATTAATGTATGACTTGTCACTCAATTTATAATTTAAATTGATTTTAAAATTACTTAATAAAATGAAAGCTGAATGTTATTACTTTAACAATATTTTCTATTAAATAAATTTTAACTGTTGATTTTTTATGCGGATGTTCTGCTTTAAAAAGTATTTTTATACAGGTCGGAAAAAAAACTTATTTCTTAATGATACATTAATATTTAAGAAGCCTTACATCCAGTCTAATAAAAATTGCTTGAAGAATGCACTTTTAAATTAAAATGAGTTTTGTTTTGATTTTATCAACTTTTTTATAACTTAATGTATAATTTTATTGCTTTTGTTCACACTAGGCTAATGTGAAAAAAAAACTACATAAAGAAAAAAAGATTATTAAGAAAAATATGATCAAATTAGTTTTTGTACAATTTAAAATCAAGAAAAACGTTCAAATTTATGAAGTAAATGTGATAAAAATTATGCTTAGTAAATTACTTCTACAAATTTATAAAAATTATCCACACTAGCCCCCCCCCCTATTCCATCAAGAGTATCTGTACTACACGTATTATTATCTTACTTTTTGATCATCACAAAAAAAATATAAGGAAACCTACTTTTTTAGACAATTTTTTCTGAAGCATTGCTTTAAATTACGCTGAAACATAGATGAAATATTTAATATTTTAGACCTGAGTCTAGCAAAGTACCTTTTTGCTCACCCATCAGAAGCAGATTATATTTAAATAAATGTCAATAACTCTTTCTCTGTGGATGTAACATTTTCTTGTCTGAAATTCTATTTTTTTTTCCTTCTCCAAAATTGTATCAACAATAAAAAAGAACTAATGTTTGCGTCGTCTTTGGTCTTTTACATTCAGCCACCAATAGTCAACATGATTTACAAAAAAATAAATAAATAAAAGAATAAAAAAACAATAAAAAAAAACAAAATTCTAAAATATGTTGTTGACAAAACCAATAACTTTTAAAACATATATGTACACAAAGATTTTTAATTACCTGAAATTGGAGCCCACAAATATCCTGTCATGAGCAAGCACAAAGCAAAGAAAATACTTCCTTCTTTTAGCATATCCAAAGTTATGGCAAATTATCTTTATTTTTCCAAAATTCCGAACGAAGGAAAAAAAACGCACTGAAGAGGATATTAAAACTGACAAATCTTCAGAGGTGGCGAGTGTGAATGGGAAGGTGAACCCAACCTACGCCCAAAATAAAAGAGCCAAAATTAGCATCATTTCTAAATGTCTGCCGCCACATCTGGAGAGTCATATTATTTTGAAATGAAGGGTATGGCTGGCAGGCAATACAAAAAGATCTTTCCGAATAAATATAACTTATTGTTCAGCGTCTCATAAAAAATGGAGGCGAGGATTAAAAGTTGATGTTTGCAATTAAGCAGGTGATAGTGCTCCATTTTTACCTTGGATATAAATATATGATGCTGCACCAGTTTCAAAGCATCAGGTACGCTCTTTTTAAAATATCGCCTGTGATATTAGCCTGTAAACACCGATATGCGTTTATGTTCTTCAACAATTAAGTATTAAAACTATAAAAATACTTAATATTGAAAATCTATATCTCAAAGAAATTTTAATGCTGGATAGATTTAAAACTGTTATTAGTTTAACTCCTTAAAATTAAATGTTGTTTTTATATAGTTTAATATTACTGAGATATATTCCTTTCACCTAAGATACCCAGAAAATTTTTAAGCGTTCTAGTTCTTAAATGTTTTGAACTCCAAAACTAAATCACTACATTTTTCTGCTTATTGCTTTGTTCCATAAGTATCTAATTAATTATATTTATAATTAAATAAGTAGTAGTAATTAATTAATGAATAAATATATTTAGAATTATATTTATAATTTAGCAATTCAAAAAATCCTAAATCTGTCTATGACGTAAGTGATTTTTGATAATTATAAGAATAGAAAACAAAATTCAAAAAAACTGATTCTGTGCTTTGACTCTAAAGAGGATTCTTCATTGTATAATCTCACAGAAATCGGATCAAAGTTGAACTATAATATGGCAACATTTTTCTGAAACCTCAATGAAGTGGTAAATTAAACCATGTTTCCTTTTCGGTTCAACCACCGCGTAATCAAGTTTAAAAAGTAAGATAATATGGTTCAAGTTGCACCATGTTTCCTTTTCGGTTCAACCACCGCATAATCAAGTTTAAAAAGAAGATAATATGGTTCAAGTTACATCATGTTTCCTTTTAGGTTCAACCACCGTGTAATCAAGTTTAAAAAATAAGATAATATGATTCAAATTGCACCAGATCACCACAAAGTTGCAGCAAATTAAAATATTATACTTATTTCATGATTAACACTCATAGTACTGGTACGATCGTATATTTGTTTCTGTGACTTTATTTAAGCTATTTTCACATTGTTTTTAAGTAGTTTTTATTTTAATTTCATGTTTTATTATATGGCAAAATGTTATAGCAAACAAGTTCAATTAAATATTTTAGATTAAATTCTTTGAAATTAATAACAGGACTAAAAAACATGAAACCTCTTGCTTGGCTTTTTAAGATTCAAAGTTGGTGCAAAAGGAATTTTTTTCCTTATGTCCTTTTACAGGTTTGAGCTCAATCCAGATTTTCAAAAAAAGTTTATAAATTTAGAGAAAAAATTTAAACTAATGTTTTGTGAAAAAATGAAATTTGAAAAAAATTGTTTGTTTAAAATGCATGTTAAATAACAAAAAAATCTAATTATTGTTAGATTATGATATTTTTTTTTATTTGCATTGTTTATTTTTATTAGAAGATGTAGGTATATCTCTATCATATTTTATATAGAGTTTCTTATTTTTAAAATTAGGTTTTAATTGAACATTGAATGCAGGAAAGAGAGAATTTTTATAATCCAGAATAACAGATGATATGAAAATGTGACATTGGCAGATTTTATAAATTTTAATTAAATCGTGATTGCTAAAAAAATATACTTAAGGAATAGTTATTGCGAATAATAGTTATTATAAAAAAGAATAGTTATTATAAGGAATAGTTATTAAAGAAAAATAAGAATAGTTATTATAAAGAATAGTTATTAAAGACAAATAAGAATAGTTACTATAAAAAAAAAATTCCAGTCTATAGGAAATAAATACTTTCGCTGTTTCAATGTAATAACAAAACGTTAATAATGCATTAATAATCATCATTTTAAGTATTTTCAAAAAGAAAAATATACAAAATTGTATAAATCCACAAAAGGACTGTTAATGCAAGTTCTTCTTTTCAGCTGAAACATTCCTAATGTTTCTAAGTCATTTTTCATCTACATCAAATTGATTTAAAAAATATCAATAATAGTTCTTATCGCCCAATTTATAAAATATTTTATTAGTTCAAGAACTGCTAAAATAATGAATTTATACTCACTCGTAGCCCTACTACGACAAGAATTTTAACTCTATTGTTATCATCAATGTTGCACAAGGATACTAAGAATTTAAAAAAAAAAAAAAAGAAAGGAAGTAGCAAAAGAAAAGAAAAAGAAGACTATATACCAGCTTCATACCGAACACGATCTGAATTTGTTGAAGAGCCGATTAGCATTAACTTCAGCTAGATAAAGTAGTTATGAACTTGTCGAGAACCGAGAATTGTAGGTTCGCATAAGCATGCATTGATTGTTCTTTACCTTCAAAAAAAACCGAAAAATACGTTCTTCTTTCTCCGTCATACTTTATGTTTATTTTATAACCGTCGTTGAACAACCGGGTTTTCAACCAATTTTTCGGGTTTAAGACTATAAATATTCACCACTGTAGCCTTGTAATTTTGAACCTAACCCAGAAATATAATTCCTGGATCAAGTATTGGAAGAAATTTACTTAGTGGAGGACTTTTTGATGAAACTAACCCGCATTTACATTACACGGAGAGGAAAACCTTGAAAATCTTCCACTTTTAACCTGACGGCAAGAGTCTCTAAATCATGGTCCGTTTACCACTAAAGATATTTTACGTGAGCACTGTGGTCGGTGCGAGTCGGGTGCGGTATTCTCATCGATCAGCCATCGAGGGGATTCGAACTCGTTTCGCCTCATTCAAAGATGAACGCTCTATCCCCTAAGCAGCTCCCTCATAGCTCCATACTTTATGTTTAATAAACACTTGTATTCCGTTTTAAATTCTATATTTCAGTCTAATAACCGAGTTCAACTTTAATAGTGCTCTTCAAATTACAAGGCAAAAATAATTATAAAAAAAATATTAAACCTGAAAGGTATTAAATCCAAATTAAACCTGAGGAATCATAATCAATGTCAATCACATTGAGATGATATATCCAGCAACAAATTCAGTTTGATTATTAGATTTAACTGAGAAGCAATTATTAGAAAAGTTATGCGTCTATCAAACTGATTTTCATACTTAAAATTTGAAAATTCTTTAACAAATTATACCTAATTCACGAAGCAAAAGCATTTGTGCAAGTGATATCAAAATTATACAAGTTACGTAATAAAATGTAGGCAATAAAATATTAGTGATCATTTATTTAAAGCTTAAAAAAGCACTTACTGTAGGAAAAGAAACAGAAGTGTTTGAACAACAAATATTTCAAGTAAATGGCGGATGCGTAAATGCACATCCACTGGACTNGAGGATTCTTCATTGTATAATCTCACAGAAATCGGATCAAAGTTGAACTATAATATGGCAACATTTTTCTGAAACCTCAATGAAGTGGTAAATTAAACCATGTTTCCTTTTCGGTTCAACCACCGCGTAATCAAGTTTAAAAAGTAAGATAATATGGTTCAAGTTGCACCATGTTTCCTTTTCGGTTCAACCACCGCGTAATCAAGTTTAAAAAGTAAGATAATATGGTTCAAGCTGCACCATGTTTCCCTTTAGGTTCAACCACCGTGTAATCAAGTTTAAAAAGTAAGATAATATGGTTCAAGCTGCACCATGTTTCCTTTCAGGTACAACCACCGTGTAATCAAGTTCAGAAAATAAGATAATATGGTTCAAGTTGCTCCAGATCGCCACAAAGTAGCAGCAAATTAAAATATTATACTTATTCCATGATGAACACTCGTAGTACTGGAACGATCGTATACTTGTTTACGTGACTTTATTTAAGCTATTTTCACATTGCTTTTAAGTTGTTTCTATTTTAATTTCATGTTTTATTATGTGGTAAAATATTATAGCAAACAAGTTCAATTAAAGATTTTAGATTAAATTCTTTAAAATCAATAACAGGACTAAAAAACATGAAATCTTTTGCATGGCTTTTTAAGATTCAAAGTTGGTGAAAAAGAATTTTTTTTCCTTGTATCCTTCTACAGGCTTGAGCACAATCCAGATTTTTAAAAAAAAGTTAAGATAATAAGATAAATTTAGAGAAAAAATTTAAACTAATGTTTTGTTTTAAAAAATAAAAATTTGAAACAAAATTGTTTGTTTATAACGCATGTTAAATAACAAAAAAATCTAATCATTGTCGGATTAGGATATTTTTTTTTGCATTGTTTATTCTTATTAGAAGATGTAGGTATATCTCGATCATATTTCATATAGAGTTTTTTATTTTTAAAACTAGGTTTTAATTGAATATTGAATGCAGGAAAGAGAGAATTTTTACAATGCAGAATAACGGATGATATGAAAATGTGCCGTTGGCAGATTTTAAAAATTTTAATAAAATCGTGTTTGCTAAAAAAATGTAATTAAAGAATAGTTATTGCAAATAATAGTTATTATAAAAAAATCCATTCTATAGGAAATAAATACTTCCGCTGTTTCAATGTAATAACAAAACGTTAATAATGCATTAATAATCATCATTTTAAGTATTTAAAAAAAAAAAATAATACAAAATTGTACAAATCCACTAAAGTACTGTTAATGCAAGGTCTTGTTCTCAGCTGAAACTTTCCTAATGTTCATAATTTATTTTTCATATACAGCGAATTGATTTAAAAAATATTAATAATAGTTTTTATCGCTCAATTTATAAAATATTTTATTAGTTCAAGAATTGCTAAAATAATGTAATTATAGTCACTCTTAGGCCTACTACGTCAGGAATTTTAACTCTATTGTTATCATCAACGTTGCACAAAGATAATAAAAATAAAAAAAAAAAAAAAAAAAGGAAGGAAGTAGCGAAAGAAAAGAAAAAGAAGACTATATACCAGCTTCATACCCAACACTATCTGAATTTGTTGAAGAACCGATTATTTCAGCTAGATAAAATAGTAATGAGCTTGTCGAGAACCGAGAATTATAGATTCGCATAAGCATGCACTGATTGTTCCTTACTTTCAAAAAAACCGAAAAATACGTTCTTCTTTCTCCGTCATACTTTATGTTTATTTTATAACCGTCGTTGAACAACCGACACAATTTTTCAGGTTTAAGACTATAAATATTCATCACTGTAGCCTTGTAATTTTGAACCCAATCCAGATATATAATTCCTGAATCAAGTATTTGAAAAAATTAACTTGGTGGATGACTTTTTGATAAAACTTACCCGCATTTGCGTTACACGGAGAGGAAAACCTCGAAAATCCTCCACTTTTAGCCTAACGGCAAGAGTCTCTAACTCATGATCCGTTTACCTCTAAAGATATTTTACGTGAGCACTGTGGTCGGGTGTGTGGCGGCACTAACTTTGAACTTTACGACTTATGACTACGAACTTATGAATTACGGTATTCTCGTCGACCAGCCATCCGGGGATTCGAACCCGTTTCGCCTCATTCAAAGGTGAACGCTCTATCCCCATAGCAGCTCCCCCATGGCTTCATACTTTATGTTTAATAAACACTTGTATTCCGTTTTAAATTCTATATTTCAGTATAATAACCGAGTTCAACTTCAATAGTGCTCTTCAAATTACAAGTCAAAAATAATTATAAAAAAGATATTAAACCTGAAGGGTATTAAATCAAAATTAAACCTGAGGAATCATAATCAATATCAATCACATTGAGATGATATATCCAACAACAAATTCAGTTTGATTATTAGATTAAACTGAGAAGCAATTATTAGAAAAGTTATGTAGTTTTATGCGTCTATCAAACTGATTTTCTTACTTAAAATTTGAAAATTCTTCAACAAATTATACCTAATTTACAAAGCAAAAGCATTTGTGCAAGTGATATCAAAATTATACAAGTTACGTAATAAAATGTAGACAATAAAATATTAGTGATCATTTATTTATAGCTTAAAAAAGCACTTACTGTAGGAAAAGAAATCGAAGTCTTTGAACAGAAAATATTTCAAGTAAATGGCAGATGCAAATGCACATCCACTGAACTGAAAAGTAAAAGCAACTCCTATTGCGTCATTAGTAAAAGAAGCTATATTTATTTGAATCTCGTTACGTAAACACTTCACCTCTTGTTCAAATAGTATTTTCCACATAAAAAAAAAACAAGAAAAATCTATATCCGATACGAAAAGTGTGTGAGTTTGAACTTTGTAAATAATACTTTTACAATGATTGCCGTACAAATACTGCTAAAATTAATATTGCTCAAATATTTTGATCTGAATAACGTTAATTTTTTGTATTTTAATGCTTTAAAAATTTATGAAAAATGACTTGAAATATTTTCCCGCATTTTATGTATTTTTTTTTTTATTTATTGCATTACCGCATCCTTCCATGGCGACTGCAAAATTTTTTTTAAAAAAAATGAAAGCCTTACTTGCTAAGAAGATTTCATTCCATAGAAGAAAAAGTTCAGAAGCAAATATTTAACATAGATTTTCTTCTGAAATAAAATATTTAAAAAAATTTAATATTTAATGGCAATTTTTTTTCTTTTGCCTTTTTATGACATTACAGCTAGTTCCGTCTTTATTCTTATAATGGACAAACAAATCATAATGTAAACAAAAGATTGGGAGATTAAAATAAGATAGGAATAGGAAGATTAAGAAGATATCTTGGACTGTCATCAGAATCAAATCAATTAACAGTCGATTATTGTATTTGTTATGGAAAATCCGAAATTGATATTATAATATTCGTATACATCGGTTTTTTATGATAGTCTTCTAATATCAGTTTATTTTCGATTTTAGTTTTTCAAAGTTTAATTATATTATTCAAAATTAAAGGCTTGAACTAAAAGATTTGATTGATTGCTAAATGAATAAATTTATTGGGTTATTCTTTTTTCTTGAAAAATATAGATGCGATATTTTATTATGAACAATTTTTGTAATCATTGCATTGAACTACTAAATAAATGATTTTAAACGTTAGTTTAATAATTTATAACAAATCAGTTACATTTTATTTTATTTTATAACCAGCGTTGTACAGCCGACCCAACTCTGAGATTACGGCTATCAATGTTCTACTTCGTAGCCTTGTAATTTTGACCCCAACCCAGAAGACATTGAACTCCTGGATCAAGCAATGGGGCAAACTAGTCTTCGTAAAGGATTTTTTTTATTGAACTAACTCATATTTGCGTGAGAACAACGTTCTGTACGAGCCACGAAAACCTTCCACGGTTAGGTCGACGCCAAGTGGATCCTTACCCAATATGCGTCTACCGCTGAGTTTATTTTATGTCAGCACTGAGGTCGATCTGAACGAGGAGCGGAATTCGTATCAACCAGTCACTACCGGGATTCAAACCTATATCATTAGGAGGCGAACCTGTGTCATTAGGACTTCATTGGGAGAAAACATAATAAATTTGGCTTGAAAACTATACCACACTAAACAAATATTTTTAAAAGTATATATTAAATTATACCCAATATTAAAGTATTCTCCCACCTTCAAAAAATTTAAAATTTCAAAAAAATGTTTTCTTCTAAAAATATCACTATGGTAAGTTAGCTCTGCAGGCTTGTTACCTCTGCAGGCACTCCAGCATTCTTGTTTGTTTTAATTCACATAATTGAAAACATTGTACCTCTGTGACCATGGTTCAGTCAGTTATATATTTAGCTTTTAATTAGTCGTCGCTATAAAATCCGGATACTTTTCGATTAGCTGTGCGGTAACTTTTATAAATTTGTTAAAAAAATTTTACTAATTGTCATTTTGAAAGTATCTAGTCATTTTTAATTAAAATCGAGAAAAAAAAGGGGAAAAGATATATAATATGTGAAATAAGTATTCACAAACAGTGTTCCTGTTTTTCGAGATAGTGTTCATGAAACTTGCGAACACGACGTTAGACGAGGTTTTTATTCAAGTCACTTTCTCTTATTATTCTTACAATCACATATATAAGTGACAATTCTTACGTCTTGAAATCACAGGTCTTCAGATGACGATTCTTATAATAAATAATAAATCAGGTAACAAATGCATGTATACAAGAAATATTACTCAAGTGAATCTCAAAATACATCTTCAAAAGACACCTTAAATACTGATCCTGGATCAATAATGGCTTCAAAAGACACCTTAAATACTGATCCTGAAGTACAGGCAGTAAAGAGCTTGCAGTGCACCCTAGTGTATAAAACACCATCCATTTGTTTATCTTATAAACTCAATTAATTTTTACTAATATTTTTAATAAACGGAGCTGCGTATACCGCCAACCAAATTTAATTTATGAGTTGTAGTCTTTTAAAAACCTTTTAAAAAGTATGAAAAATTAAGAAATTTAATAAAAGTTCTTTTATAAATTGAAACTAATTTTTCTCTAACTTTTGTCGTAATCGACGATTAGAGAAATTTTATTTCCACTTACATTTACTTCAGAAGAAAACTTTTAATTAAAAAGAATCGAAATATAAATTAAAAGAATAGATTATAAGAATTGAATTTGGCAGTTTTAACTGCAATTTTTAGAGGAGAGAATCCTCTCCTCCGAACCAAACGTTTCTCTATATTTAAAAAAAAAAAAAAAAAATATTTTTTATAAATATTTGAACGTTAAATTTAATTTTAGACATGAATGCCCGTCAAAGAGGCGTTTACATACATATCAAATAGGGAGTATATCAGTAATACTGAGAATGGATCGGTGGAGCAGGAGGGCTGCAACCCCCTCACATTTTATAAATGAAGGCACACAGCCCTTTCTAACATTACAATTTTTCACTCAATATTTGCGTACTTAAATTTATATAAATATTTTTTATAAAAATATGTATAAATTTACAATTAAAAAATATAAATAAATTTTTTGGTGTCTGAATTCTAAAAAAATGTCTCTACTTGAAGACAGCTTTAACATTATATTGGTAAAAACTGCTTCCAAATTATCCCTTACTCACGTAGTAAGAATATATGGTCTTATTGCTGACCAATGAGGAAGATTCTTGATTCCGCAGTGAACAGAAAAAAAAGACAGATAAATAATTTACTGGTAAACAATTTCTTTTATTAACTTTATTTTGATTTTAAAACAATTTGTATCATGAAGTTAAAATTGCTTGTTCGAATAATTCTTGATTGCCTATTTGTGAGGTTCAGATAATTCGGACCATATATATATGTTCAAAATGTAGAGAAAACAAGGGAAAAATTACAGAACAATAAAAAGGGGGAAAAAGAAAAATAATAATAAAAATAACAAAAAAAAAGAAAAAACATGGAAAAAAATTTTACGAAAAAATTACAACAAATAAATAAAATAGAACACAATAAGTAAAAATATCACGAAAAAACAAAAAGCAGAAAATAAAATATAAAGAAAAAACAGAGTCTAGCATAAAATGAAATCTATAAAGAGGATATAATCGTGTGAGCTGATGAAAAGATTATATCTTTTATTTTCAGGATTTTTTTAAAATTTTTCATCCATTCCCTTCCCCCGGTTTTTTGTTATTTTTATTATTGTTTTTCTTTTTTTCCCCTTTTTTTATTGCTCTGTAATTTTTCCCTTGTTTTCTCTACATTTTGAACTTATTTTATGAGTTCTATTTACTTGCAACTTNTTCAGAAAAGAACTAACATAAAAAGATTAATTGAAGCTTTTTATGTTGCATATATACAGGGAGGGCAGAAGTGCCCCCCCCCCCAACTTTTGAGATACTTCCGCGGTCACTGGAATGAAGTTATTTCCAAATTTGGAAACGGACTAAGTTAAAATGAATCAATGGTCGTTTAATATTATCTTTGTTTGATGATGTCACAAAGTAAAAAAAAAGAAAAAAATAAATCTTGATTACTCTCCTTATTCAAATTATTTTCTTAGGGACGTGATAATAGAACTGAAAGAGAAAAAATCCCGAACCCGGTTGAAATTTTAGAACCCCCCCCGTGTAAAAAAAAAAGTAAAAGAAGAAAGCAAGTTTACGAAAATAAAAGAGAGAGGTTCGATGAATCATTAACTAGAAAGGAAAAAAAAAAATAAAAAAATAAAAAAAACTTTTCTCGAGGGAAAGGAACAAACTTTCTCTTTGTATAGATGACGTGATGCTAACAAAAGAATCACTAAAAATAAAAACTTACTATCCAAGCAAATAAATTCAGGGAAGAAGAAAATGGTAAAAACATTTCTAAATAAAAACTAAAATATGAATTATTAACAACTTAAAAGAAATAAAAAGAAAAATAACTCCAGCAAAAATTACTAAAAAAATCATAGATGATACAATTGAACTGGTTTAATGAAGTACCTAAACTTTATGTTTGCATTTAAATGTTTTCTTTACGAGAATCAATTTACTTACGAAATTCACCCTTTAAAATTGCTTTGAATTGTATCAGATTATAATAATTTCAATACTCTATGGCTCTACACATATTTTCAGTTTTTAATATGGAGTTAAATAGGAAATAACAGGTTCGAAATGCAGGTATTTGAATGTTGATAATAGGTGATGTAACAAGGAATCGACCATCTATCGAAAAAACTGAATTCCGGGTTGTGGGAAATGTGAATAGTAATGTAAGCTACGGTTTAAAAAAAACAGAGAAAACGTGTAAAAAATTTGTCAAATAAAAAGAGAAGAAGAAAAAAAAAATTTAAAAACCGAAGATCTAAGGGGAAAAAAATGGAAAGACACAATCGCCTCACTAGTTCACACGGTTCTATCTGTAAAAAGGAGTGATTTCTAATATTGTATCAATATAGCCAAAGCAAAATATATCAATAAAATGGTGTGATGAGCACTAAAAATAATTAAAGCAAAACGAACGCATTAAGCAAAAAATATATCACGTAAAAAACAGAAAATAAATTGTACAGAAAAAAGAGGACGAAAAAAAAAAGCGAAATCTATAAAGCGAGTAGCGAATTGAAATGAACTTACTAAAAAAAACTTGCCAGAATAATTTTAAATATATTGGTAATAAGATTGGCAGATTACAAAACATGAAAACAGAAGCGCAAATGGAACCAAAAGCGCAAATAGAGGGCCCTTGTTTTACAGCGCGTTTTATCTGCAGTACTTAAGCGCGTTTGATTAGTTAGTCACCAAGGACTGGCCTGAAAATGGGTGTGTGTAAGGTAATAATATTATACTGGATAATTATAAGCTTATAATTAATAAGGTTGTTATTTAATTAAGCAATTAAAACAAATAGAGAGAGAGAGAGCGAATCATGATTTTCCTGTTTAACACAGAGTTTTAGCCACGAATTTGCACAAATTTCAGTTTGTCCTGAGAATTGCGACTGCCTGTGCGCAATGCTAATCTCCTTGCCACGATCGTGCTGTTGGTCATAAAATTGCGCAGTCTTAACGTGGAGAAAGAAAAAAAAATTACTTTAAAAATGAGACCTAAATTGAATTTTCAAAGATTTTAAGATTCAAAAATGCACATTATAAATTGAAATGTATTATCACGGTTTTCTTATCACTTTCTACTTGGCATAGAAATGGTTGCTTAAATTTCAATTAGTAATTTTTTTAATCGCTTTCCGCAGGCTATAGCCTGTTAAGCACATTATAATGAGCTTAAATTCAACTTCTAATCTTTTTAATCGTTTCTCATTAGCTTGGGTCTAAATTTCAAAGTAAAATTTTTAATCGTTTACGGTTAGCTAGGGTACTTTAATCAATTGAGATTTTAATGGATTTTATTAAAAATCATTTTGTAATTTTTAATTATTTTACTAGGGTGCATAAATTCCAATTTGTGATTTTTAATCATTTCCAATTAGGTATGATGCTTAGATTCCAATTGGGATATTTTATTGCTTCTGATTAGCTAGAGGGCTTGAATTCTAATTTGAGTGTAGTAGAGCTATTTCTCAAGCTCAGAACATTTCTTAATTGATTTTTTTACAGTGGGAAAAATATTCCATGATCATCATTCACCTTCAGATCGATGTGTTTGCCTTAAGAGTTAAGGCGGTCTATGCACAATGCTAACCTCATTGCCGCAATCACGCAGTTGGTTATGGAACCTACATGACCCCCTGGCTAACAGTGGGCTGTTTTAATTATTCCACAATGACACAATTCTTCCATTCATCCTCTATAATTAACCATCATCTTTAAGCATCTTATCCATAATTACTGATTCTTTGACTATATTTAAGTAATTTTAAATTTGCGTACTTTTACGAACTGTTTCTGGATGTATATTCAAACTATTGAAATATGCTGGTCAAATATCGGTATTGCAACTGGTGAATTTATTACTACCAAATTGACGCAGGCAAAAGATGCGTCAAAAACATGTTTGCAAATTGTTTAACGGTACACTGTTGCTTTACTGTAAAAGATGCGTTTGTATAATATGCAATCCTTTTTGGTTTGGTACGCAAATTCTGGGTTTGTATGATATTCTGGGGGCTGAAGCCAAGCCGATGGTTCAGGAGGAGCAGAGGTAAGGAAGAAGATCAAGATATGAAACCACTTTATCTTCTCCTCAGATGGCACATTCGAATGTTGCAATTTCGAATTATTTGTAATAGTAGTTGTAGTTGTTTATTTACGTTGCAATGCAGCTACACAATGGGGTATTGGCGATGGTCTGGGAAACATCCCTGAGGATGATCCGAAGACATGCAATCACAATTTTGATCCTCTGCAGAGGAGATGGCACCTCCGGTTCGGTAGCCTGACGACCTGCTCACGAAGTAGAGCACTTTACTATGGAACGTATTAACGAGTTCCAAAACTGCACACCCTCGGTCCCTTAGTAGCCTGGTGAAAGTGGTCACTCTAACCGCAGCCGGTGAGGCTTGACTAGGGTGTTCTGCTGAGAACTATGTCTCATGATCAGTCCACTGTGGGAGTGACTGTATGGATAGTGTTCTCAATATAAATGTAAACAACAGCAATCTACAGCTCTTAACCTGCTCTNTAATCACATGCCATTAAATTTGCTTTTATAACTTAACTTCATCGTTCTTTGTGTGTTTTTGCCTCATATAAAAACATAAACTCTGACGCCCTCTAGCGGTTTTGCGTTTTGTTTCGACCATGCATTCTTTGATAGAAATTGTTTGCTTGGATGTGTACTATCACTTCCTAAATTTTATGCCAATCTTTTTAGAATCATCCTATATATATAGTATTCCATTATCACCATCCAGCTTCAGATTGATCGGTTATTTCAACTTGTCCTGTGAGTTGAGGCTGCCTGTGCTCTCTTTGCCACAATCATGCCGTTGGTCATGAAATTGTGGAATCTTAATGTAGAGGTAAAGAAAAGAAATTACTTTAAATATGATACCTAAATTGAATTTTCAGAGATTTTAAGATTAAAAAGTGCGCATCATAAGTTGAAATGCATCATCACTTTTTTCTTATCACTTTTTACGTGGCATAGAAATGGTTGCTTAAATTTCAATTAGTAATTTTTTTTAATGGTTTACCACAGGCTAATGTGCTTAAATTCAACTTCTAATCTTTTTAATCGTTTCTCATTAGCTTGGGTCCCTAAAACTCTACGTAAAATTTTTAATCGCTTACGATTAGCTAGGGTACTTTAATCAATTGAGATCTTAATGGATTTTATTAAAAATCATTTTGTGATTTTTAATTATTTTACTAGGGTGCATAAATTCCAATTTGTGATTTTTAATCATATCCAATTAGGTATGATGCTTAAATTCCAATTGGGATATTTTATTGCTTCTGATTAGCTAGAGGGCTTGAATTCTAGTTTGAGTGTAGTAGAACTATTTCCCTAGCTCAGAACATCTCTTAATTTATTTTTTTGCAGTGGGAAAAATATTCCATGATCATCATTCACCTTCAGATCAATGTGTTTGCCGTAAAAGTTAAGGCGGTCTATGCACACTGCTAACCTCATTGCCGCAATCATATAGTTGGTCATGGAGCCTCCATGACCCCCTGGCTAACAGTGGGCTGTTTTAATTATTCCACAAAGACGCAATTCTTCCATTCATCTCTATAATTCAGCAATCATCTTTAAGCATCGGATCCATAATTACTGATTCTTTGACTATATTTAAGTAATTATAAATTTGCGTACTTTTCCAAACTGTTTCTGGGTGTATATTCAAACTATTGAAATATGCTGGTCAAATATCGGTATGGCAAATGGTGAATTTATTACTACCAAATTGACGCAGGCAAAAGAAGCGTCAAAAATATGTTCGCAAATTGTTTAACGGTACACTGTTGTTTTACTGTAAAAGATGCGTTTGTATAATATGCAATCCTTTTTGGTTTGGTACGCAAATTCTGGGTTTGTATGATATTCTGGGGCTGAAGCCAAGCTGATGGCTCAAGAGAAACAGAGGTAAGGAAGAAGGTCAAGATATGAAACCACTTTATCTTCTCAAATAGCACATTCGAATGTTGCAATTTCGAATTATTTGTAGTAGTTGTAGTCGTTTATTTACGCTGCAATGCAGCTACACAATGGTATTGGCGATGGTCTGGGAAACATCCCTGAGGATGATCCGAAGACATGCACTCACAATTTTGATCCTCTGCAGAGGAGATGGCACCTCCGGTTCGGTAGCCTGACGACCTGCTCACGAAGTAGAGCACTTTACTATGGAACGTATTAACGAGTTCCAAAACTGCACACCCTCGGTCCCTTAGTAGCCTGGTGAAAGTGGTCACTCTAACCGCAGCCGGTGAGGCTTGACTAGGGTGTTCTGCTGAGAACTATGTCTCATGATCAGTCCACTGTGGGAGTGACTGTATGGATAGTGTTCTCAATATAAATGTAAACAACAGCAATCTACAGCTCTTAACCTGCTCTACTTCCGGTTAGAAAGTATACAGCTGTTTAATACTGCTTATTCTGCAAGGCGATATTTTTAAGCAGATAATTTGTTTTTACTTAGGGAAATAAACTATATAATTTCTGAGTTCAAATTTGATGTACTTCATAAGATATGATAGCTATAAAGTAATTCTGGGAAGTTTGCAGAGAAAATTTGATTTAGTTATTTATAAATGTTTTGCTGAAAAAGTGCGCACTGTCTTGGCTGACCGCCCTCTTATAACCCTAAACTTTGGCGATCAGCTGAAATGGGTGATTGCCAAACGAAATCTATCGCCAACTGCTTGGATGCNAGCGGTCAGCCAAGCAACAGCCGAAAAAGTGACATGGCTGCTAGATTTAGAAAGAACTCGCTTTTTCGGCAGTCCTGTTTTGGCCTCTTTTTACTTGCGTATTACTGTTTGTTCTTGTTGCATGTCCTGCACCATTATACGTTAGTGTTAGAATATTGTTCGAGTATCGAGATTAGGTTCGTTTTACAAATTATCATTTAGGTATAAATTTCGAAGTTGCTATATTGTTGAAAGGGGGAAAGAATTGTTTTATAACGATTCTTTTTTTTTTCTTTCTTTCTTCAAATGATGATTCTTGCGTCTTGAAATGACAAGTCTTCAAATAACAATTCTTTTTTAAACAGAAATCATAAATCAAGTAGCAAATACTCGGATAGAAGAAATACTAGTCAAGTTCGTTCACGCTGTGAACCATATGATTTCAAAATACACCGGAAACAATAACTCGGAACTATAGACCTTAAAGAGCTTGTAGCGCTTCCTAGTGCAGAAACCATCCATTTTATAGTCAAATTCTCCTTCTCTAAATTGAATTAAAAAAACTGAAATTTATTAGTAATATTACGAAAACTAATTAGGATTTAGTTAGATTGAATACAAACAAATTAATAATAAGAAATAATAACTCTTAAAAACTAAATGTATTGGAGATTCCATCGATAATATATCGTATCGATTTAATGTTGCTTCATTTTTGTTAATAAATTTTCTGTTAGAGGTCGCGTCTATGAAGGACTTTTGCAATGCAGTAAATGTGTGTCTCTTGTTTTGAGTACTGAGAAACTACAGTTTTTCATTTTTAACCCAGTTCTTGTTTCTAAAAATAAATTGTTTGTACTTTTAATTAATTATATTAAAAATGTATAGCTATTGCAATATCTTGTTAACTGTAGGGATCTTTATACTCACACAGATCTCTTTAGGTAAGAAATGAAAATGAATATTACATATTTTTAAATAATTCTCTTTACGTATATTAAACATTCAATATTGCCGGTCCATGTCTTGAAGCAACATTTTTTAAATAAGTTTAGCTTTTTCGCGTCAATAAACATGTTTTATTTTTCATTTCAAACTTAAATTCAAACAAATATAAATTTTCTTGCTTTCCTCTTTTCAGTCCTTAAACATTTTTGTGGGAAAGTACTTGTTTACTGAAATTGATATCGCTAGATTATTTATTATTTTTTTTGTAGCATGTATGAAATGAAATTTAAAAAATAATGTATTTATAGCAAGTTGACTTTTCATTATATCTTTCATTGATAACTAGTGAATATCTGAAAGCTACTATATTTCGTTTACTTTATTTTTTACAATTATATTCTATATTTTATGTATTCTATTATGTATAAAATTTAAAGGAATTCGTATGTATTTACATAAATTACATACTTTATGAATCACATTCCTTTCATTAGTTATTAAAGATTAGTGTATTGAGTTCAGTGATATTTCATCCTTTTAATTGAGTAAATTAGTCCTTATTTTACTCTCCACAGAAATTACGCTGATCGAAATTTTGAGCTATTCTATTGAAGCTATTGTATGCAGTGCCACTTATACATATTCCCAGCAGAAAAGTTGGGCTAGTTAAGAATTCAAAAGATAATTAGAATCTATGAAAATACACTATTTTTCTTGTATTTTTAAAATCCATTCTTGTTTTATGTATAATGAAAGTTTTACTGTACTCTAAAAAAAAATTGTTTATTTAAATAAAATTACTAATCACACATTTCAGATTATTAATAATGATTTTAATTTTCTATTTTTTTTAAATTTGCTTAAAGAATCTTTTTCTATCCTTTTTTTTATTTCAAAAAAGTTGTTAATGATACTTTTGACATAGTTAATTTTTAACTGAGACTATTGTGTGAAATACCACTTCTGAATCCTACTGACACAGATTTCTAAGTGAAGTACTGGGCTAGACATATTGATTAATCTACTTGGAGAAATCTATCAGATATTAATTTGTGTTATGTGGATATTTATGCTTCAACAGAAGAATTAAATCTATGCTTCAATCAAGCTTTTAATAATTAGTGTTCTGCAGTATCATCATTAGTAAATAAACAAATATCACACTAATTGAATTTATGCCTACTATTTTTTTAAAAAATGAAATAGAAATGAAGGTAAAATTTTCCAAAAAATATGTCTTTTATGAAGAAAATATTTTAGTGTCAGTCAATGCCAGGTTAGAAAAAAAATTTATTTTAATGACATATAAAAGTTTCCTCTCAAATTGGACATAAATTGTTCTACAGGATCTTAGATTAGTCTATGACAGATCTTTGAGCACTTTCTGCTTTATGTTGTACTCCTTTTTTAAAATTGTGTGTCTTTTGCTTGTTTGATTTTTTTCTCAAAAAAAGCAAAAAGCTTAAAAGAGGCTGATTTATTTCTTAAAAAATATATATTTTAAATTTTGTGATAGTAAAGTGTTAAATATTATACAACACTGACTTAATTTTAATAAGTTTAAAATTTTTGAAAGTAAACTCTAGTTTTCTTTTACAAGTAAATCTTTCTCGATTTGTATGGGTTGCTTATAAGAATGAATGAATTAATTGTAAAATCAACTAGTTTTCTTTTTTTTTTTTTGCAAAATAAATGTTAATTGTAGATGAATGATTAATAAATTCAAGAACTAAAAAGAATTTAAAATTTGGCATTTCTTAAATATTAGAAATAAGCTAAACAAATCTTTCAATCTTGACATTCTTCAATAATGTAATATGCCAAACAAAATGTTGTTCGGAAATGTTGAAAATTTTGTTCAGTATCCTAATATTTTACTTCAAATAGTATGTTTTGATATAATCATGTTGGGAAAATGCAAGAATCTGTTCTTAAATTTCTTTTAACCATTTTGTTTCTAATTTTATTGCCCAAAAATGAATGAATTTTAAATTATAAGCAGTTAAACTNGTCCGGATGAGATGGAGCGTTATCTAAAAACAAAATTGCTTTGCAAGGCAATTTTTTTTTTCTCAATGCTTTCCGTGTTTCTGGAACAAAATGTTCTAGAAACCATTGTTTGAAAATTTCTCGATTCATCCATGCACTTTTCTGATTTTTGCACTTTTCTGATCAAATTTGGCACCTCGAATTAAGCGGAACCTCGGACTTCTGAGACTCGAACTTTCGAGACTCTACTGTATATCTTTTCTAGATTTTATATATTGTTTTTTAACATCAGTATTTCACTTTTTAAAATTGTTTCTTTTGTTTTTCTGACTATCAGTAATTTTTATTTCAAATCATTATTAATTTTTAAAAAAATCCTAAGTTAGGCCTCGTTCACTGTCAGTTAATCAGGCTCTCAAAATATGTTTTGCCTTAGGTGTAAAGTTCCATAATTTGTACTTTGTGTCAAGTGTTAGAGAACAAACTGATTTCAATTTTGTATTTTTTAATTGAATCTATAACTTTAAATTGTTTAGCTATATTATCTTAACTTGTTTCCTGTTCTTTAAAAATGCAATAAAAAATAAAAGCATTTTTTTTTGCACAAATTTTTAAAAATAACCATCAGTTTAAAAGATGAGTGATAATATGCTTCAAATAATACCATATCTAATAATATTTTAATATAACACATTGATCAAGTGATATTTCAATTTAATACAAAAGATTATGAAGATAGAAGTTCTTTACTTTTTTGAGAAATTAAGTTAATGGTGTGTAATATATTTTCATTCAGTATCCTATGTAATTTTTAGTTTGATTTAAAGTTTTGTTGAACCTGCTTCTGTGAAACTGTTATTTATAATTTGGTTAAAACTCTTTCCTATTTTCTTAGGCACTAGTATAGAATGTTATAATTGCCGTTCAGACGTTGATAGTAATTGTGCTGCTGAACATCCTGATCCAAAATTCTTGACTAATTGCAGTGCTCTTAAAGAAGGTCCTAAATATCAAGCTTGTCGTAGAATTGAGAATTTTGTGGATTTTACAGTTGTTGGGCGTAAGAATTTATTATGTGCTTATAAATTTATTGTAATATAGTAGATTGTTACTTTTATGATTACTTAATGCTTGGTGAAATTAATCTCTTTATGTAGAAAGGGCTCTAGGTTATACACCATAAACATAATTTATTTCAAATTTTACACATTGATAGGAAAATTAGAAAATAGTTTGTTTTTCAGCTTTCTTGGAAAGTAGTTAACAGAACTAAAACCTTTTTTGCATACTAAGATTCAATTATTTAAACTATTTTCTGATTATTTCATATTGTCAAAAATTAACATGTAAAGGCATTTTGTCATTGGCAGTGACATAAATTCATTTATTTCACTTGTGTTTTGGAAAATAAAACTAAAATCAATAGATTTTAGTTTTGACATTTTTCAAATACTTTTTACATGAAGTTAGGATTAACAAATCTGTTTTACAAATGCTTAGTAAAATTCTTTAGCTGTTTCTATGACTTTAACTCTAAGTATAAACAATTTACTTTGCCTTTAAGTAAATCTTAGTTGAGCATTTCAGGAATAATTACATAAGTTAATAAAAATTAAAAGTTATTTCAAAAGTAATTTGTATATAGTTCAACATTATTATAAAATCTAGAATATCATAGAATATTTGGCAACAGAAATTTTTTTATGGTATGGAATAGAAAAACTAGCTGATAGCATAAATAGTTTTAGCCATTAAATATGCATTTAATTTTAACATAATATTATAGTCTGTATCAAAAAAACGTTTAATGTGCAAAATAGTATAAGTAGTGTAAAAATAATTTAAACTAAACTTGTGAACATTTTCAAGTACATAAATCAGTAGTTGATTCGTTTTAAAATCTCAGAAAAAAAATTATTGAATGTTAAATATAAATTAAAAAGCTTATTGAACATGAGACAACTAAAGCTCTTTAAGTAACGAAAAAATAAGAAGAATAACAGTAAGTTTGTGGCGTAACTACCACTACGAATATTAAACATCAATTCACTGGTATATAAGACATGCTAACTTGATTCAATCACGAGGTACCTTTTGATAGATGAAGGTTGGCATGATTGATAACTCTGCCCCCACATTGGTGACTCGGACGTGATTTGAACATGCGGTAACGCCCACTTCGATCTGGTAACGCCTACTTCGATGGATAGTCCACATTAAACAGTTGACTTGCTATTTGTGACTATGACATTATCCACCTCCTCACGCTGTTGCTGCTCAGTCTCGTCTCAATCATACACAACGTCAGCCTGCATACACTCGACTGCTAAAGGCAACACAGGAGCGACTACTACCGTGAAGTTAATACACCTCTCACATTCAGCACTCAAAAACCCGGTGACCTTAAATCCAGCTCTCCCGGTCGTTCACAAGTACAGCAACTAGGTATCTGTTCATCGAATTCTCTCTGATAAAATTCTGGTGGGGGAGTATTGTGACGTAACTACCACTACGAATATTAAGCATCAATTCACTGGTATATAAGACATGCTAACTTGATTCAATCACGAGGTACCTTTTGATAGATAAAGGTTGGCATGGTCGATAACTCGGCCTCCACATTGGTGACATGGGTGAAAGAAGAAATCACCCCTCATTGGTGATTTCTTCTTTCAGCTTTTTGAAAGGATCGTCTGCGTCAGGAGTTATAATGAGATCCCTTACAACTGCGGCTACTTCAGGAGGAAGGTGGGCGAGGCAGTAGTTAAACTTTGTTTTTCTCTCTGTAATCGGCTTCGGTGTTGCAAGCTGGAGAGTTGCTTCGACCATATGGAACCATAGGTGTGGATCAGAGATATTGAAGAGGGAAATTTTAACTGCAGACGATTCTGCCATAGTTGCAGTTTCCTATTAATCCAAGAATAATACAAGAAGCAAAAACAGGAAAGATGAAAAATAAAAGTTGCTTGTACCATCGGACGTCCAGGTCACCATTGAAGTAAGCGAAGATAGCTCCTTTGTAATACAAATATTTTATTGAACATATTTACATTATATACAAGTTGGTTTGAATTACAAGAAACATCATCACAGCAGGTGATGGGAGAAATACTGGCAGGTTGCCATATGCGTGCTTGCTGGCATTTATACAATTTATATTATTATCCATGAATTTCCGAGTTAAGACATACTTTCACTCTTGAGGTGCTCTCTCTTCTCAAACAAAAGTTGCACCTTCCAAACTTAATTTGCAAAAGGCCAATGACTGGGTAGCTTGGCTTGCCCAAATGCCATTTGAAGCAACAACAGGTTATCTAATATTTTTAGTTCGTTGGTGAAAAGGGAAAAAAATGTTTTATTTATTACTGTGGCTAAATGTAATAAATAATTATGTTAAAGGCTTTTTATTATTGCAGAGGAACCAACTAAACGTGTTATTCGACAATGTGCTGCTGATGTAGACAAAGAAAGGCCATGCTATTATCGTGCTGGTTTTGGAGGCAGATCCAATGTGTGTGATTGTTTTCAAAACAAATGCAATTACGCTTCTACCATCATCAATTCAGTCCTTGTCACTGCAATATGTGCATTTGCTGCTTTCATATTTCTGTGATATTTTTAAGTCAAAGCATTTGTAGGTATCCTAAGTCATATTGAAACACAAATGTTATAACAACCCATATTATGAGAAAACCACATGTCTATTTTATACCACGAAAGAGAAATTATAGGAAAAAACAAATGCTTGTTTTTTGTTTACCTATCATTGTTTGAAAACGAGGTTTATGTTCTGTTTTCTCTCTGTGGAAATTATGTTTTATGTTATATGTTAATACTATGCAAATATCATGATATGTTGAGTAATTTGTTAAAGCTATGCTGGATTTTGAGGAAAATTTGAGTGTTTCTTTTATTAGTATTCCTATTTTTATTTATTCCTGTTTAAATACAAAATATATTTATCATGACCTGCTCATCAATCATAAAAAATTTTTCTTTATTAGATGAGTAATATGATTGTAAATATGTTTGAAAGTTTTTAAAATGTAAAAGAAATTTAAATAACATACTCATTTCCTGCCATTAATCCTACTACAAACATATATTTACAAGTTTTATGTGAAATATTAAAAGTATAACTAGTTTTCACATGTTAAAATTTTTTGTTTTAACTCATTCAAAATTTCCTATATAAATTTTTTTACTGTTATTGCTACTAAAATTTTTTATTGCTGTATATAATAACTTCTGTAAGTATTATGTTATTACATATATTTTGCTTTTAATGAAAGCAGAAACTGAATGAAAAATTATATAAAATTCACATTTGGGAAAAATTTATAGAATCGTTTAAAGTGTTAATTTCGTTTATCGTTCATTCATTGAGCTATTAATACTTAAATATTCATTACGGATTGTACAATCAAAAGGGTACTTAATATTTTTTTTTTCCCTTTAAAGTTGTCGTGGTTTTCAATATTTTTTTAATTTTAACTTTTCGTGAATTTATTTAATCACTAGTTAAATTTTTTTGTTTGTTTTTCGTGTAAGAACTTAAGTTACACCACATAGCATAAAATAAAAGTTAATTGTCATCAGAGAATAAACTGCATCCATTAGAAAGTAAATTGTTTTGTACACTTTTAGAGTCATGTTACTTTTTCCCAGGAATAAAATTGTGATTATCAAATGTATTTAATTATCTTTTTTTTATGTATGTTATATTTTTTCATTGACATAATTTTTCTGTTTTATATTAGATGTCCTTAATATTTTGGTGTAATTTATTTTTCTAAAACACTTTGTTTTACTTTAATTATTAGTTTTATTTGTTTTAAAAGAAATTACTAGCATTGAAATTGAATTCTTAAATTACTTGAGCTTATGTTTGTTAAATTAGTTTTATTTCTAAGCTTTAAGTTGTTACCTAAGCTTAGAAAACATAAAATTAGTTTATTAATAACTCCATGACATGTTATTGAGTTTCTAATTGTTAATTTTTTATAGCAATTGCATTGTGATTTATTTTATTATTATTTTTTTTTATACAGTTTATTCATATTTGATTGTTTCTTTATTTTTTATGTTTCAATCTCAATCTATTCAAAATGTTTTGATTATTACTGATACACAATGTACTGATTTGAAAAAAAATTTTATTATTTTATTTTTTGATCGACTTTGTTAAGTTTGTCTAGTCTATTTTTTCTTGTATTCATATGGAAGTTAACTAAGTCTGTTCAAAGGCTTTTTTGTCACTGTTTGCACAATTTTTCAGAAAGGAAATAAAAACTAAATGCTTTAAGACTCTCTTTTGGAGTTATTGTTATTATGAACAGTTTTTTTTTCATCTTCATATTTATTATAACTTATGAAATAAAAGTTTATATTTAAAAATATGATAAATAATATTAAATGCCAAAATATTTAATTTGAGATTAAAATGTTTGTGTCAAGAGGCAATTTATTTGCTGTTACAAATAATTTGTTTCTGATCTAAGAATCCTTAAAGACATTTACTTAATGTATGTTTTAGTATTATATTTCAAACTTTTATATTTGTTCATTTTTTAGGATGTTTTTTAGTCTTATAGACTTGAAAATGTTTATCTTATTTATATCAATGTTGAGGGCATTCATTTGAGTATATTAATTTTTATAAGATTGTTTTATTAATATTTTTTATTTATTTNATTTTATTTTCTTTTATTTTTTTTTTTTTTTTTTTTTTAATAATTAGACTTAAACTTTTAGATATTTACTCTTCCACTGTTGCATGTAGATTTAGTATGATTATTCTAAGAATTACTCTATACGTTTAGGATTCAATAGACTTTCAATCACAAACTACTATAAATGCATAAGCTAAATTAAGATTTTTTCTTAATATTCTAGGCTATGTAATGTAAATATTCATTCCAATATTTGCCTAATGTTGTGAGTGAAAGCAATAGTTTTGCTTGTACTATCTATGACTTACTAGTATGGTTTTTTCAGTTATATGTTCATTATTAAAAAAAAATTGAATAAAAAATTTAAAATGCTTTTTACAGAGGTATTTTTCCTCCAAATATCTTAGTCATTTTGTTAATTTCTTTTGAGATTTTTCATTTTTGGGGCCAACTGACTTCAATCAAAGCATTTCACATTCCACCAAGTTATTTTTACCGATATTGTTTTTTATTATTATAAATGTATAACATCATCAGAGTGTATAAGAATCTCTTGTAATTTTATACTCTTGATTCAATTATAGCCTTTCAACTATGTGTTATTACAATATTTCAAAGTATGAAAAAATATTTTAAATCCATTGGGGAAAAAAAATATTTGCAAAATCTGAGGAATATCTGATGAGTATTTCATACTTAAAATTCATAAAGTTATAACGCTTTTTATGTTCTTTAGCTTTTTGTTTTTATAGAATAGGCTATTGCCATTATTCATTTATATTAATCATATTTAAGTAAATTTTGAATTTTGTACAAATATGTCTGATTAGGAATTATGTATTTATGATTAGGTTTTATCAAATTTACATTGTCTCTCAATATATGACTCATAATTGTTTTATTTCTGAGTATTAATTGTCTCATAATTGTTTTACCAATGAAGATCAAACCTTATATTTTCAGTATAGCTCTAAAATCTATAAAAATTAGATGCTTCAGATCAGTAAAAAGATGAAGCTTAAGAAAAGTCTGCTTTTAGTTCACTAAAGCATGCCATTATCGACTTTAAAACTTTTTTTTCCCAATTTATTTATTGTAAGTTAGTTAATGTGACTAATTTACTATATTTTGAGAATGCAAGTAGAGTTAAATTATAAATTGGGAGTTGCCAATGAAATAACTTAAAAATAAAGTAATAGCAGAGATAAAAAGAGTTTAAAAAAAAAGCTGAAAGTTCATACTTTCATTGAATTTTTGCAAATTTAATTGCATTTTGGCTAATTATTAGAATTAATGCCTATTTTTATTGACATGTTCTTTGCCCATCTGAAACATGGATCATTAGCTAGAGATGAGCCTTGTATAATAGACAAGCTTGGTCCCCAAGTCTGGTTTAATATTTTACTTTAAGTCCAAACTTGCTGAAGTCTAAGATTCCATAAATCGGGCAAATTTCAAAATTAGCAGAATTGTAAAAAGGACCAATATTTAATTTTTGAGATTATTTGAAGATCAAGATATATATTTTATTTTGTTTGAAAGTTATAAGAAAGTAAATAATAACCATTTGTCTCATCTTTTATATGTATTTCTAAAGATTGTGTTCTTAGTTATGTTTGACTAGTAAACCTCTATGCACAACAAAAGCTTTAATCTCTGAATCATTAATCCACTATGATTTAGTAGTTATTGTGTTTTTAAAAATAAATAATATTAAACTATGTGCTCAAAATTATTTATTGCAATGATATTGCATAAATTAAAAGTACTATATTGATAATTTTTTATTTATCAGTAAACATTAATCATTTAAAATACATTACATAGTATGTTGTCTTATTTTCTTTCATCAAAATTTTGCTAATTGTCAAAAGTTAATTGTATTAACACATAGTTCTAAGTTCAAAACTTAAAATAAGAAACATGCTTGAATATTTAAAAGTTATTTATTTCAAAATTTTGATTTATTGCTATTGTGTGACAATTTAGTAAATAACGTTACATAACAGCTGCATATTGAAGTTTCATTAATATTTTTTTTTTATTGTCTAAAATTTACTTAAATTTTGATGAACATATGTAAGAGTTTTTGCAATTTGTACATCATAACTAGTGTGTTTTTTTTTTTGTTTTTTTTTTAATTCTCATGTGATGTAGAGAATGTAGACATATAGGATGTAGTGCATTTAACATAGGTAAATGTTTGTTTAAATGTTCAACAGTATGACTGCCTAAAATCCAAGTTTGTTCTGCTTCTTCTGTTATGTCTCATAGCACTTATTTGTACATTTTTGCAGGTATAACTAGAAACAGATATGTTTGTAGAAAACCTAAGTTTGTAAATAATGTTAAAAACATGTTAATGTAATGCAAAAATGATTAGTAATAAAGTTATAATGTCAAAACGGTGTGCTTCTTTAACTAGTGTTAATTTTTATGATAATTATAGTAATGATTTCTTCTTACTTATGAACGCTAATTTTAACTCTTAATGGACGCACTACCATCTAAGCGGCATAGCATTATGCCGCTTCAAATGTTGCGTACATGGCGGCAAAAATCAATTTATTTTCTACTTTCCAATTAACTTAATTATAAGTAACGTTATGAATAATTGTACTTGATCTTGTGACGTGGTAGTGGGAAGTAAATTTAAAATATTCCTCAACCGTTAAGGATTAATATTGAATGAATGCTTTATACAAAGGGGCCAATTATTACGATTTCGTTGTCAAATTTACGGTCACAGTTAGGTTAGTAAAAAGTACGGTTTTTGAAAATTTTCGTAATCTGTTAAAAACAAGTTTTTTTATTTAAAAAAAATCTAGACTGCCAAACTAATGAAATTTTTTTGTGCGCAGACATTTGAATATTCGGGGGGGGGGGGANGGGGGGGAATTATCGTTTAATTGGTATTTCTTTTCATCCGTTTCGTTTCATTTTTTAATTAATAATAGCCGCATACAAAATATTAACAATCCGACTATACCTGAAATTAAATAGTAAATTTCGCCTTCAAATTTTCTTTGAATTTTGGTAAAACGTTATATGTATTATTGTGCAATATGCAAAAAAAAGAACATAAAATAACTTATGATTGATGATGAGATTTTCATTGCTTCGGGGGGGGGGGGGATCTCAAACATGCTTAGTAATTACTGCAGATGATATTTTAATTACAAAATCAGACACAAAAACGCACTTTTTTTTTCCTTCGATGTATTTGGATTTCTGACCTTTAAAGAGCGGTTCAAAGTTTGAACCCTTTAATATTAATTTTACGTATTTCGCCATATCTCGAGAATTTTTTAAGCGAATCGAAACTGTTTGCACGTAATTAAAAAGTTTGTTAACCCAAAGATATATAATTAAGTGCAAAAAATGTTTTTTATAACCTATTATTTTATTTAAATTCGAGTTGTAAAGTATACGAATTTTTACGTCATTATTGTTTGAATGTAATTTTGTAAGGCAGAATACGAAATTTGAACGAAATCGGTAGAATAGTTCAAGAGAAATCGAACTTTAAAGAAGTACATTTAAAATCTGGAACTATTCGATTAGTTTTGTATCTTGTCTTTTTTGATTTAATTCTTTAACATGTGAAAACTTGTTTTCCCTACAATTCATAATTTTTTCTACAATTATTAAATAAAATAATTCTTATTATTATTTGCATGGCACAACGAATTAAATAAACGAAATTTATAAATTTTTCGATTCATTTAAAAAAATTCTCGAGATATGGCGGAATACGCAAAAAGTGAACATTTGACAAAGGGTCCACACTTTGAACCATTCTATTGGGACCATATTTCCGAAATCGCTACTATAATTTTAGGGTCAGAAATCCAAATCCGTCGGACAGAAAGGTATGCTTATTCAGACAAAGTATATTTTTGAGTTTGATTCCGTAACAATAATTTAGAATATTTTGAACCCTCGAACCATTAAGATTGAGTCATAGTACGTGAGGATCCGTACATAAAAAAGAAATTTTTTTTTTTAAGTATTCTATTTTTATTAATTCTATTTTTTTTTTTTTTTTTTTTTTTTTTTTTTTTTTTTTTTGCACTCTGTACTTCTGATAATGGATAGCTAGTTTGAAAAGTTGCCACCTCTATTTCTAAGCGATGTTTCTTTCTTTTTTTTTTTCCTTTAAATTTGGAATTTGAAAAGTTCGTTTGTCATGTTTTGCAATTACGATTTTTAATTGCAATTTTTAAGAAAACCATAATGCTTGATAAAATGCTGAGTCTGACTTGAATATGACAAATATAACATTTAATTTGGAACAAAAAATATAAGTTTTTTTTTACATCTTTTTTACATTACATTTTTTTTAAAGAATTTATTAAGTTGATTACTTTTTGGAATTCAATTAGTTTACTTTAAATATTAAGGAATTCAAAGTTCAAAGAAAATTAAACTTTATTTAAAATCCTATTAATGTTCTAACACTTTGCAACAATCGGTTGTTAATGCACATCCAATATCAATTTCCATTTTGAGAAATTCCACTGAATATTGGTACGCTGAGCAGACCACCTTCTATTCCTGTAGAAGAAAAAATTAACTGTGCTTAATACGCTTAAATTCAATTTAACGTGCATTAACTTAATGTGCTTAAATTTTATTTTAAGCTCATTAATTTTATATGATAATGCTAGGGGTCTGAAATATGACCGATGATTTAAAAAATCGTAGAAAACTGGAAGGAGATAGAATGTACAATTTGTTTTATTCTGCTTAGGGAACTAGACACTTTTTCTCATCAAGTTTCAATATTAGTTACAAAGTTCCTTAACAGATGGTTCTGGAACTAAGAAAATTAATGAAACATTCTTTTCAAATTAACCACCATTTGAAACAACAACATCGTAATGCAGTTTGATGTCAAAACAGACGGCGGTGTAAATATTTCGATCGCAAAGGTCTATCATGCAGCAGTAAACATTGATTTATTGTTCTTCCTATTAGCAACACAATCTATATTCCTACTTTGTAACTAATTTTGAAATTTGATGATAATAAATCTCTGGTTTTTAAGCACGTTGTAACAAACCCAATAAAATTTTATGAGAAAAAGTTCGATAAACTATTTTCTTGATTTATTTCGATAGAAAGAATTTATTTCGTTCATTACATTCTAAAATTTAAATTTTATTTCTTTGTACAGTTGCAAAATTGAAAGAAAAATAAGTCACATTTTATTATGTTGTAACACATTGTCTCACTGCAACAATCTATTATAATCCAATAATATTTTTCATTGAGAAACTTTACTGAATATTGGTATTTCGATCAGAGGTCGTTTATAACCTGTAGAGAAAAAATTAACAAAATGTTTAATATAGTTGCATACAATTTTTGTTTTTTAATGTGCATTGTTTTAGCATGATTAAAGCTTTATTAGATTGTGGAAATTTCAAAACACATACTCAGATGTTAATAAAATTGACTTATACTTAAGTATTTAAATAAGTTTTCAATTTAAAAACATACTTTGTAAACAGCTTTCAGGTTTCCCTGACTCAGACTGGCCATTGATATAAAATTGTGATCGGTCTCTGGGCACCAGCTATTTATACTGGGCCCTCTTTAAAGATGACCTCATATCCAAATTAAAAAGTTTAAGATCATATTGTGGGGATTAATAAATCTACTATGTCAACCTTCATCTATCAAAAGGTACCTTGTGTTTGGAATCAAGTTAATATGCCTTATATACCAGTGATTTGGTATTTAATATTTGTAGTGGTAGTTACGCCACAATACTCCCCTTCCAGAATTCTATCTGTGATAGAATTCGATGAACGATTACAGCTAGTTTATATATTTGCTAGTTTATATACATGCTGTTTATATATTTATATCAATTTCGCTCATTAAATTTTTTCTTCATTTTTTTTTTGTTTATAGCATTTTGCTTATTATTTTGCATTTTTTTTTTCTTCTTCATTTTTCGTTTGTAGCATTTCGCTTAATTTTTTCTTCAATTTTTGTTTATAGCATTTCGCTCATTTTTTTCTTCCATATTGTTTAATATCGGTAGACTTTATTTACTTCACCGGATCTTTTTTTTTCTTTGAGCAGTTTATATTAAGCAAATCAACTGTTTAATGTGAACCCTCCATCATGTTAGCGAGTTTATATCCCGTCCGGGTCACCATTGTGGGGATTTATAAATCGACTATGTCAACCTTCATCTATCAAAAGGTACCTCGTGATAGAATCAAGTTAATATGCCTTATATACTAGTGAAATGGTATTTAATATTTGTAGTGGTAGTTACGCCACAATATCATTCTGTAAGCTTTTTATTCTAGTTCCAGAAAGTGGACTTAATAATTACATGGTTGCTGGATTTTGAATAAGTCGTTTTTTTGGCAGTCCTGATTTAGCCTCTTTTCATTTGTTTATTACTGTTTGTTCTTGTTGCAAACTGTGCACCATCTTACGTTAGTGTTAGTTAGCACCTTTAGAATTGTAAACACAAGTATTGTTAGCATTGTAAACACAAGTAATAAGTAATCAAATACCATGTTTGCAAGAATCTCAAAACACAATGATCACGTTATGAGCCAAATGGCTTTAAAATACACCAGAAACAGTAACCCGGAGGCGGTATGGAGCTTGCAGCTTTCCCTAGTGTAGAAAACACCATCCACCGAACTCTGAAAATGTTATCTAAAGAACTTATATGAGCCCCCATAGCCGAGGCTGGTATTACTAAATGTGTATAAAGTTTCTTACAAAATTGCAAAATGCCTCATTTATGAATGAACAAAAATTTTGGTATTAAATTTTTTTTTAAAAAACAGTACTTTGTTAGGAGCTTCCTTTTGTCTAAGTTATTATACAAAATTGGATATTATTAGAGATGAGATTAACTTAAAATGTATATGTTACGTACTTTTGTTGCCTCCACCATTTCTGCCTTCGTCACTTGTATCATCCTCATTACTGTATTCGTCACTTCTGTCTGCTCCACCACAACAAGCTGCGTAAGCTGAAATAGTGATTAAGGGTTTATATATATATATCCAATGAAGATCAAACCTTATATTTTCAGTATAGCTCTAAAATCTATAAAAATTAGATGCTTCAGATCAGTAAAAAGATGAAGCTTAAGAAAAGTCTGCTTTTAGTTCACTAAAGCATGCCATTATCGACTTTAAAACTTTTTTTTNATCCTCGTCGTTTGAATTGATATTTATTTTGAATGCACTTCCGTTTTATAAATGTTCAATATTATTTCTTTCTCAGCTTTACTTATGTAAGATTTCTTCTGTCGTTTTTTAGGAGGACTTAAATCCATCGCTTTATTTTCCATATTACTCATGAAACACTTACAAAAAGACACCACGGCGAAACAAACAACCCTCTAAAAATAAGAGTTTTTGCTTGTCTGATAGGCGCTATTTGTCATTATTCCGGCGCCAAGTAGACAGCTGTATTGCGCCAAATAGCACGCCGCTTTGTTTACTTTCGCTATCAGTTCTCGTTGAACAGACTATAATTCCAGATCCGTCTTGCACCGACCACAGTGCTGACGTGAAATATCCTCAGTGGTAGAGGGATCATGGGTTAGAGTCCCCTTGACGTCAGGATAACCGTGGGAGGTTCTCGTGGTCTTCCTCTCCGTGTAACACAAATGCGGGTTATCTCCATCAAAAAGTCCTCCACGAAGGCACATTTCTCCCAATACTCGATCCAGGAGTTCCCTTGTCTTCTGGATAGGGTTCAAAATTACAAGGCTACGGAATTGAACATTAGTAGTCGTAAACCCATAAAATTGGGTCGGCTGTTCAACGACGGTTATGAAATTTTAAAATATTGTGACTCGAGTGTAGGACCGGAATCACGAATCACCCATTCCAGGGTCAAGTTGAAAATAAAACAGGCAAGAGCGTTGTCATGTCTCAAACCATTTACAATTTAAAAAAAATCTGTGAGTTTGCCAAATAACTTTATACAGGAGAAAGTGAGAGTTAAAGTCGACTTAATAAGCCGCACAAGTTTATCTGGAATGCTTCTCAATAAGAGTTCTCAGTAGTAAATCGCGATTAATATAATCGTAGGCTAATTTAAAGTCAATAAAAAGATAATGCAATTCGATTCCATACCCTCTGGATTACTATGTCTTCAACCAGAGGGTTTAGTCTATTGAAGATGATAATCGAGAAAATTTTATAGATGTGATTAAGCAAACCTCGATAATTACAACAATTTATGGAATCTCCTTTTTTTTTACGTTTTGGACATATAATGCTTCTGGTCCTGTCTGAAAGAAGCTTTTCATTGTTCTAAATCCATAAAATGAAATTATATTTCTCTTTTTTTATACAGTGTTTTTCCTCTATACTTCAAGGTTTCCGCAGGGATACCATCAAGAAAGCGGGAGCCCTATTTAGTTTCAAAGACTTGAGAGCTGATTTCACCTCTTCCAAAGAAGGTAATCGTACCTGGGTATCTGTGTGAAACAAATGAGAATCCCGACATGATAAGGTTGAATGGCTAGTATTAAGCAGAAAATCAAAATACTTCATCCATCTGTAGGATACATCGATAGGATTGCTGAGGATTATAATACTATGCAATCAATATATTTAACACATGCAAATCCAATTCGGGCAAATTAAAGCTAAACTTATTTGCTAAAACTTACCAATTAATTTTATAAATCACCTTTTGTCCTAATATAAATATTAATCTTAAATTTACTTATATTTACACTGTCCATAAACGCCTTAAATTTAACCACCACTTATATTCATTTATGATGCATCATCATGAATCCTATAATATGGAAGGATGGTTGAAGGATGGACAAAATTGTTCACTTGGAGCAGAACTCCTGGACGCAAAGTCACTTCAATATTTCTAAAAGACGCACTTTTTTCACATGTATCATATAGTTATCCTTTCATGTCATGTGATCTATAATATCCAAACTTCTTTGTTAGAATTGACCCGGTAAGATGTAATCATACGACCGGATGAAGATGAATTAATATCTCAAAATATTTATTAATTTGAATGGGAATTCGGTTTCATTAAAATATTTTACTGAGCAGTATGGATTCCTTTTATAAATAAAGAGTACATTTCTATTCAATTAAAGTTAATATATAAGCGAAGAGCTTAGTTTATAATGTGAAATAGATTATTTAAAGCTCTCATCTGTTAGAAGGGCTGGTCTACAATTAAAGTATATTTCTTTTTAGGTTTAGTTTTAAAATCCATAATATAATTCTATTAAGCTATA